TGATTGATTTTATTGGGAGTCTGTGTTATCTTGCTTCGCTCAGTTTGATTAAACACACAGAAACGATCACAGTCAATTTGAGCTGTGCGTCACGGGGAAACTCAAATCCTTCAGCGATGATGGAGTAGTTTGAGAATAATTGAAATTGTTGGTAAGAGACAATAGAGTTTTGAGAACGTGCCCTTCATTTCCGTTCCACAAACCTCCAAAACAGACAAATAAAGCACGCAGCCGTCATTTCTCCGTCTCGGTGAACTATAGACCCGATATAGTCCGGCTGTGAGGAACACACTTACAGCCAAAATAACCTTGGATTTGGTTACATGTCGTTTTGCCAAAATAACTTGCGAGATGTATGATATTCCATCATGTAAGCAAAGTCAACAGTGATTACAAGGTGTTTGGTTTCATTTCATTGACATATTCTATGCGTAGCCTGTGCATCTATTCTTGGGCGATGGTTTAGACGTCTATTAAATGTTCACCGACAGCCCAAACTTTGCTTGTTTTAGGTTAGACATCAGGGGTGAGTTTGGACTCTATTAGACGTCTTTTAAATGCAAAATTGCTTGCTGGGATCATACTATCACCGTTGTCACATATTGTTTGTGTTAGCATGTTAGCATCTAGCTAAATGCATTACCTAAAGCTTGACATTTTGGTTTGTGCAATTAAAAACTGCTGTGATTCTTGCATGCAAACTCAAAGCCAAAAGTGAACCCATCGATTGCACGATGGATTGTGGGTTAAATAGCCTAAAAAGCATGCAATCAAAAATACACTGCATCATTCGGCCGACTGTTTGTCTAATTCTTATCTGGCATGCTATCTAGAACGTATAGTATTTGAATTGTGCTGCAGTGATTCAGTAGCTCATTCGGGGGATGTGCTGGTTTTCATTAGGCTGCAGGACGCTTTAATTCATTGCAGTCTGGCCTCGTACTGATGAAGTCATTCATCAAGCTCACGGTCAGCCGCTCCGCTGGGGAGTGTGTGTGTGTGTGTGTGTGTGTGTGTGTGTGTGTGTGTGTGAAGGGGGGTTGGTGTGTGTTTGGGGGCACTGGGGGTTCAGGCTCGACGTTACATGGAGTTGCGGTGAAGAGCACATCACACCCTGTAATTTAGCCAATAGAGTGCAAACACACATGCACACACATGCACTCTGGGAAATTAAATCGGCCCACATGCACTTGCCGCGGACTGTATGATGCACTGACACATCCCTGAGGACTCCTTCCCGAACCGCGTGTGTGTGTGTGTGTGTGTTCAGAATGGCGCAAGCAGCAAAAAGCCGGTGCCATTAACAGGCTGCAGCGTAATTAACAGTTGATTCGATCGCCGGCTAGCGCTGGCATCTGCAATAAAATAAGCTGCTCATTTTTCTGTCTAATAATTTATAGACTGCAGCTCTCCTCATTCTGTGGTCAGTCCGTTTCTCAGGATATTGCTCCGGCTCTTAGTAATTCACTCTATTGATTGAGTTTAAAGTGACAGGAACACTTTCAATCTTTCTCTGATCTCTCATGCTAAGTTTACTCTTCATCATGCTGTTAGCGTGTCATGCACACCGCTGGACGAAATTAATAATTCATATAAAGGTAGTGCTCTGTTCGGGTTTCACTTGTTTTGTAATTTGATGCTTTATTTTACAGTGCTAGACTCGACCTGCGATGTCACTCGGATGCGCTACTCTGCTTCGATTAATCGTGATTAATCGCATAAAAAAAATTGTGTTTGCATAATATATGTGTGTGTACTGTGTATAATGATTTTGTAAATATAAATACACACACATATGCTGTATATATATATTTATACATAATTTATATTATATTTAAAGAAAACTATTTTTATATATAAATAACACATTTTTCTTAAATATGTGTATTTATAAATGCAAAATAATTTTACACAGTACACACACACATATATTATGTAAACACAAACTTTTACGGTATGTTGGATTTCGATTAATCGTTGCCCAGCACTAATGACAAAATTTGTGTTCTTGTGAAAAAAAAATATTGAGGTACAATTCTTTTCAAATGCATATTCCCATGCATGTTATAACACCAGTGCATGATAATAGAGATTGTGGATGCCATCATGCGTGGATTATAAATCCTAATATGCGCATGGGAAATCACAGACACATTTCCATGGCGTGTGTAACGGTTATCAGGCCCAGGCTCGGCATTTACAGTGATTTGTGGAACAGAGCTCAAGGAAACTGGATCTGTTGTATATTGTGTGTCTGCGGTCAGGATATCTTAAGCTGGCTTTGAAGCGTTTTCTGTTTTTTTCCTGTCAGGGAAGAGCAGATATAATGTCTTTTCCCTTTCTGAAACGTGTCTCTGCTTTGTTTGAATCATTGAGTGCTGCAGTATTTACATGGGTTTGATTTAATGAGCTGGAAAACACGGATACACAGAGTACAGTTTAATGACAGCACATGACATTCATCAACGCTTACTTACAGAATTAAACAAAAATGTAAACAAATAGTTTATCATTGATTAAAGGCTTTTTTTATGTTCAATCTATGCGGATTATCAGCCGATTGCAATAATAATATAATAAATATATATATATATACAATAAAAAAAAAAATAAAGAGAACCAGTCACAAAATATGCTGCTGTCTGTGAGAGAATCACACACACACACACACACACACACATGCGCGTATGTATGTGCGCTTCACAGTCTTGCCAAGCATATGTCAGCACTTAGCAATCAAAAAATTTATTTCTATGTGCCCATTATCATATTTCTTTGTTAATGATTTTAGCATATTAAAAGCTCCAGTGTGCACAAGTAGAAATCTGATTCATGCGTCTCTTTTTCCTTCATTATTTTTTCAATCTTACGATTGTTTTCTAATTAATTGGACACATTCCTGAAACGTTCCCTCCTCGCGCTCTTTAATTAAACTGGCCGTTGGTTCCTCGATGTGAGGCTCAGGGTCGAGACTTCACCGGCGTATTCCTGAGACCGCTAGAACGTGTGTGTGAGAGAGAGGAGAAAGAGTCGCTACACACACGAGACATGCCACCTACACCTAGTGTGTGTGTGTATGAATGTGTGTGAGTGTGTGTGTGTGTGTGTGTATCAGTGTGTGTGTGTGAGAGTATGTGTGTGTGTGTGTGGGCGCACGTGTGGCGCTGTCTGAATAGAGCGGAGTGTGTGGTGTGTTTGGTTGTTAATCTGCCTCTTAAACACATCTGTCAGTGCGGATCACTATTGTTCGTCATGCTCCAGACACACACGGCACAAATTCAATCCTGCCATTTCTATCATGTCACATTTGGCAGATCAACAGTGACACAAATTGTATCATTGCATCCCGCGCGGGGATTGTGTGTGCAGTGTGACTTCTGGCGACTCGAGACCTTTGCAGGAACGTCTTGCTTCAGCGTTCAGGAGAACTGAAGCTGAAGTCCTCTAACCGCCGAGGAGAGCCGTGTTTAATCCCGCCGCGCGTGCGGATCTGTGTGTTTCTGTGGCGTACTGCGTCCATTAATCGCTCCCACACAGATTCAGCTGCACTGTTTGTGTGTTTATACACACTTTACCACTGCAACTTGGCCAAGAATCCAGCTCAGTGTTGCAGATCAAACCGTGACCTGTGACCTTGGGGGATTTTTCATTTAAAGGAATCAAATAATCAAAATATTTATGGTGAACATTAAAATATATATATATATATATATATATATATATATATATATGTAAATACAGTAGGCCTATAAAATACAATCCAAATGAATAGAAATTTTATATCCAATTCAAATACATAAATCTTTTTTGAGTGAATAAAGCAGGAAAAACAGGAAAAGAATATATATATATATGTTTGAAATAATCATTTTCAGCTATTTGCAAATAATGTTTTTAATTTAACATATGCACACATTCACTCTTAATCATATTCGAATTGGTGCTGTGCAACGATTAATCGCGATTAATCACATCCAAAATAAAACATAATATATGTGTGTGTAGCCTACTGTGCATAATTATATTTAATGTATAAATACACACACACATGCATGTCGTATATATTTAAGAAAAATGTGTCATTTATATATAAAATATTTATATTGAAATACTCATCCGAAGCGCGTGCAAATATTGACTTCTCTTTTGAGTCTTGCGCTTAAATGGACAAATTCACACCAGATCGTCAGCATGTGTGTGTTGATGAGCATCCGAGCGGACTCAGCCTGTGTGAACGCATACAGTCCAGAGAGTGTGTACAGTCTCACAAACATCAATGAACTTACGCTGTTTTCTTCTGGAAACAAATGTTGTGGCATTCTTTTCCTGTTATCTCTGTAAAGCTGCTTTGAAAAAATGTGTATTGTAAAAAGCGCTGTATAAATGAATGGCTTGACTAGCAGTGTACTGTATTCCTGCGGCGTGTCTTAAAGTGACAGTAACCTAATATTCCTGCCGTCTGTGTTTTTAATGTTAATCAAACAACAAAAGACAAGGAAATCACTCACAGCTCTGGATTGAATAGCTTTTGTGACTTTAATAAGGATTAATCTTTAAATTTATAGTAAAATACGCAATGTTATTTTACATTTGATTACTTTATTCAATTTCTGTAGCTGAAAACTAATGTTAGCCCTATACCTGATAAACCTGAAAAGCACAGTTTATTTTATTAATATCTTTGCTCTATTGTATTTATTTGTGCTGTTGCTTGTAGTTGTTCTATATTTTAATTTGACAGTAGTGCTTTTCTCCCTGAACATACCGAACCGCGAGCCTAAAACCGCGATGAACCGAACCGTGCCACACAGGGCATGATGAAGTGCAGCTTCATTGCTGTTTGCAGGGATTCAGGCGTTCCCACATGAAGCACAGGTGTCCGACTGATGTGTTGCTGGTGCAGATGAGTGGCAGTGCTCTGTGTGTGTGTGTGTGTGTGTGTGTCTGTGGTGTTCCCCATGATCCTGACCGGAGCCGGTCTCTCTTGTGTTCTCTTCCAGCACCCGTATCCTTCAGAAGAACAGAAGAAGCAGCTTGCTCAGGACACAGGCCTCACCATCTTACAAGTAAACAACTGGTGAGTCCAGGCCCTTTCCTCTCTCTGACCATCGGGAAGCTTTAGCCTTATCGCCGCGCTTTCCTTGCCTTTGATGCATGAATGAATCCCTGCCGGATTACAGATGCGTTGCTCCGGCCGGCAGCGTCTCTGTAGAGCTTAGCTCATAACTGGAGGTGGTGGATTAAATAAAATGATCACAGAGCCAAAGAAATGATACAGGAATTATTTATCAAAATATACGGCCGGGCTCTTTTTTTATCGCTGGCTTAATTTCGTTCGCTACATTCTCCGGCCGATGTTCAGATTAATTGAGCTGACAGCTTCTTTTCAAAACACCGGGAAGGTATTTGCACGGATTTTCTGGCCTTACACAAACTTAATTATACGGAGCGCTCCTTTATCAGTCTAATTCCGTGTAGTGGAGCTGCTATTTACAAATGAGAAGTCCCTGGCTTTTATTCACAGCTTGCTTTAATGTATTTATCGGAGCGGACTCATTTACGCAGCTCTATCTGTCGGGGACAGGCGGCGGCCGAGGGCTTTATCACGCGTCTCCTCGGGGTCAATTGATTTCTGTGCTTTTGTGATTCATTTCCCCTACACCTCATTCTGCTGCGGCTCACATGAGAACACGCCTGGAGAAGGAGAGAATGAGAGAAGGAGAGAATGAGCTTGATTCGTCTGCCGGATCTGACCAGGTGCTTACATTGACCACAGGAAGAGCCGTTATCTGCCTTTCACTCGCCTGGCGTTTCAATTACAGCGTTCCTACACACACACACACACACACACCTACAGCAGCAGAACATTGAGATGCTTCGCCTGTTTCATGCTGAAATAACCTGCAAACCCCACAAGAACAACACAGAGAGAGAACGAGTGAAGCTAGAGGATCACCTTCAGTGTTAGACCTCAGATCCTGGAAGACTTGAGTGTTGTCTCTCTATCTATCTATCTATCTATCTATCTATCTATCTATCTATCTATCTATCTATCTATCTATCTATCTATCTATCTATCTATCTAGACGATGACATCACTGTTTTCTGCAGAGTGGCTATATATACATATATAAATAAACTAAATTAATATTTTTTTTACAAACAAAAATCAACATCACTGTTGTGGGTCACTGGGAGTGTTTGTGGGAGTGTTTGTGGAAGTGTTTGTGGGAGTGTTTATCGGAGTGTTTATCGAAGTGTTTGTGGGAGTGTTTATCGGAGTGTTTATCGAAGTGTTTGTGGAAGTGTTTGTGGGAGTGTTTATCGAAGTGTTTGTGGGAGTGTTTGTGGGAGTGTTTGTGGGAGTGTTTGTGGGAGTGTTTATCGGAGTGTTTATCGAAGTGTTTGTGGGAGTGTTTATCGGAGTGTTTATCGAAGTGTTTGTGGGAGTGTTTACTGGAGTGTTTATCGAAGTGTTTATCGAAGTGTTTGTGGGAGTGTTTACCGGAGTGTTTATCGAAGTGTTTGTGGGAGTTTTTGTTGGAGTGTTTATCGAAGTGTTTGTGGGAGTGTTTGTTGGAGTGTTTGTGGGAGTGTTTATCTGAGTGTTTGTGGGAGTGTTTTGTGGGAGTGTTTATCTGAGTGTTTGTGGGAGTGTTTGTGGGAGTGTTTTGTGGGAGTGTTTGTGGGTGTGTTTGTTGGAGTGTTTGTAAGAGAGTTTGTAGGAGTGTTTGTGAGTGTTTATGGGAGTGTTTGTGAGAGTGTTTGTGGGAGTATTTGTGGGAGTGTTTGTGGGAGTGTTTGTGAGTGTTTGTGGGAGTGTTTGTGAGAGTGTTTGTGAGTGTTTATCAAAGTGTTTGTGAGAGTGTTTGTGGGAGTGTTTATGGGAGTGTTTATCAGAGTGTTTGTGAGAGTGTTTGTGAGAGTGTTTGTGGGAGTGTTTATGGGAGTGTTTGTGAGAGTGTTTGTGGGAGTGTTTGTGGGAGTGTTTATCAGAGTGTTTGTGGGAGTGTTTATGGGAGTGTTTGTGAGAGTGTTTGTGGGAGTGTTTGTGGGAGTGTTTATCAGAGTGTTTGTGAGAGTGTTTGTGGGAGTGTTTATGGGAGTGTTTGTGAGAGTGTTTGTGGGAGTGTTTGTGGGAATGATTGTGGTAGTATTTATGGGAGTGTTTGTGAGTGTTTGTGGGAGTGTTTGTGGTAGTATTTATGGGAGTGTTTGTGAGAGTGTTTGTGGGAGTATTTGTGGGAGTGTTTGTGGGAGTGTTTGTGGTAGTGTTTGTGGGAGTGTTTGTGGGAGTGTTTGTGGGAGTGTTTGTGAGTGTTTGTGGGAGTGTTTGTGGTAGTGTTTGTGGTAGTATTTATGGGAGTGTTTGTGAGAGTGTTTGTGAGAGTGTTTGTGGGAGTGTTTATGGGAGTGTTTGTGAGAGTGTTTGTGGGAGTGTTTATCAGAGTGTTTGTGGGAGTGTTTATGGGAGTGTTTGTGAGAGTGTTTGTGGGAGTGTTTGTGGGAGTGTTTGTGAGAGTGTTTGTGGGAGTGTTTGTGGGAATGATTGTGGTAGTATTTATGGGAGTGTTTGTGAGTGTTTGTGGGAGTGTTTGTGGTAGTATTTATGGGAGTGTTTGTGAGTGTTTGTGGGAGTGTTTGTGGTAGTATTTATGGGAGTGTTTGTGAGAGTGTTTGTGGGAGTATTTGTGGGAGTGTTTGTGGGAGTGTTTGTGGGAGTGTTTGTGGGAGTGTTTGTGGGAGTGTTTGTGGGAGTGTTTGTGAGTGTTTGTGGGAGTGTTTGTGGTAGTGTTTGTGGTAGTATTTATGGGAGTGTTTGTGGGAGTGTTTGTGGGAGTGTTTGTGGGAGTGTTTGTTGGAGTGTTTGTAAGAGAGTTTGTAGGAGTGTTTGTTAATGTTTATGGGAGTGTTTGTGAGTGTTTATCAAAGTGTTTGTGAGAGTGTTTGTGGGAGTGTTTATGGGAGTGTTTATCAGAGTGTTTGTGAGAGTGTTTGTGAGAGTGTTTGTGGGAGTGTTTATGGGAGTGTTTGTGAGAGTGTTTGTGGGAGTGTTTGTGGGAGTGTTTATCAGAGTGTTTGTGGGAGTGTTTGTGGGAGTGTTTGTGAGAGTGTTTGTGGGAGTGTTTGTGGGAGTGTTTATCAGAGTGTTTGTGGGAGTGTTTGTGAGAGTGTTTGTGGGAGTGTTTGTGGGAGTGTTTATCAGAGTGTTTGTGGGAGTGTTTGTGGGAGTGTTTGTGAGAGTGTTTGTGGGAGTGTTTGTGGGAGTGTTTATCAGAGTGTTTGTGGGAGTGTTTGTGGGAGTGTTTGTGAGAGTGTTTGTGGGAGTGTTTGTGGGAGTGTTTATCAGAGTGTTTGTGGGAGTGTTTGTGGGAGTGTTTGTGGGAGTGTTTGTGGGAGTGTTTATCAGAGTGTTTGTGGGAGTGTTTGTGGGAGTGTTTATGGGAGTGTTTGTGAGAGTGTTTGTGGGGGTGTTTGTGGGAGTGTTTATCAGAGTGTTTGTGAGAGTGTTTGTGGGAGTGTTTATGGGAGTGTTTGTGAGAGTGTTTGTGGGAGTGTTTGTGGGAATGATTGTGGTAGTATTTATGGGAGTGTTTGTGAGTGTTTGTGGGAGTGTTTGTGGTAGTATTTATGGGAGTGTTTGTGAGTGTTTGTGGGAGTGTTTGTGGTAGTATTTATGGGAGTGTTTGTGAGAGTGTTTGTGGGAGTATTTGTGGGAGTGTTTGTGGGAGTGTTTGTGGGAGTGTTTGTGGGAGTGTTTGTGAGTGTTTGTGGGAGTGTTTGTGGTAGTGTTTGTGGTAGTATTTATGGGAGTGTTTGTGAGAGTGTTTGTGAGAGTGTTTGTGGGAGTGTTTATGGGAGTGTTTGTGAGAGTGTTTGTGGGAGTGTTTGTGGGAGTGTTTATCAGAGTGTTTGTGGGAGTGTTTGTGAGAGTGTTTGTGGGAGTGTTTGTGGGAGTGTTTGTGAGAGTGTTTGTGGGAGTGTTTGTGGGAATGATTGTGGTAGTATTTATGGGAGTGTTTGTGAGTGTTTGTGGGAGTGTTTGTGGTAGTATTTATGGGAGTGTTTGTGAGTGTTTGTGGGAGTGTTTGTGGTAGTATTTATGGGAGTGTTTGTGAGAGTGTTTGTGGGAGTATTTGTGGGAGTGTTTGTGGGAGTGTTTGTGGGAGTGTTTGTGGGAGTGTTTGTGGGAGTGTTTGTGAGTGTTTGTGGGAGTGTTTGTGGTAGTGTTTGTGGTAGTATTTATGGGAGTGTTTGTGAGAGTATTTGTGGGAGTGTTTGTGGGAGTGTTTGTGGGAGTGTTTGTGGGAGTGTTTGTGAGTGTTTGTGGGAGTGTTTGTGGTAGTGTTTGTGGGAGTGTTTGTTGCAGTGTTTGTGGTAGTGTTTGTTGGAGTGTTTGTGGGAGTGTTTATGGGAGTGTTTGTGGGAGTGTTTATGGGAGTGTTTGTGGGAGTGTTTGTGGGAGTGTTTGTGGGAGTGTTTGTCAGAGTGTTTGTGAATGTTTGTGGGAGTGTTTGTGGGAGTGTTTATCGGAGTGTTTGTGGGAGTGTTTTGTGGAGTGTTTGTGGGAGTGTTTGTGAGAGTGTTTGTGGGAGTGTTTGTGGGAGTGTTTATGAGAGTGTTTGTGGGAGTGTTTGTGGGAGTGTTTGTGGGAGTGTTTGTGCGAGTGTTTATGGGAGTGTTTGTGGAAGTGTTTGTGGGAGTGTTTATCGGAGTGTTTATCGAAGTGTTTGTGGGAGTGTTTATCGAGTGTCTGTGGGAGTGTTTGCTCGCTCAGGTCTCAGTTAGATCCGTTCGTCCACCTGACATTCCTGTATATGGGCCAAAAGCGCCTGGATTCCTCCTGTGATGGTCATTGTGTGGATCCTGCTTTGATATGAAGCGCAGGAGAGAGAGAGACAGGTTTGAGCTCTGGACCTCCTGAATCACGTCTTTGTTCGGAGGCACAATCAGACCTGGAGGCACAAGGGCTCTGTGTGTAAAGTGTCAATAGACAGCGCGTCTCCTGCTCTGACAAGACCGTCTCTCTCTCTCTCTCTCTCTCTCTCTCTCTCTCTCTCTCTCTCTCTCTCTCTCTCTCTCTCTCTCTCTCTCTCTCTCTCTCCTCT